CCTACAAATCAACAAGCAAAAGGCAGATAATCTAAAGATAATCCAATTATAAATGAGCAAAAGACTTGAGAAGGCACTTCACGAAAGACAATATCTTAATTGCCAAGAAGCATATGAAAAGTCAGTATTATTCTTCATTAGAGCAACAGAAAGGAAAACTACTACACAGCCACCAGAATGGTTAAAACGAAAAGACTGACAATATCAAGTATTGGCAAGGATGCAGCATAAATTAGAACTCTTATGTTGCTGATGGGAGTGTAAATTGGTTCAAAAGCTTTGCAAAATTGTTTGGCATAACCACCAACGTTAAAAATGTATCTTCCCTATGACTCTGCAAGTCCATTGCTAGGATATGTCTCTAAGAAAAGAGTTCATATGTTCCATCAAAGAATGTTCAAAGCAGCTTTACTGATAAAAGCCAAAAGCGAGAAACAACCCAAATGTCTATCAAAAGGAGAAGAGAGAAACAAATTAAACCATACAGTGGAATGGTATACAGCAATAGGAAAGAATAATTGATACTTGCTAAAACATAGATAGATCAAAAAAATATATTGAGTAAAACAATCCAGACCAAAATAAGAGTACATTCTTTATGATTCCACTTATATAAATTTCAAGAAGAGGTAAAACTTATTTGTGGTAATAGATGTAAGAATAGTAGCTATTTATGGGGGTAGGAAAAGGCAGGTATTGACTGGGAAAGATTATGAGGGAGCTTTCTGTAGTGCAAGACAGGTCCTATTTTAATTTGGGTTGTGTCTATATGAGTATACATCAATGTAAAAATTCATCAAATGGTACATTAAAGATTTGTGAATTCTATTATATATGAAAAAGGGAGAGCCATGAATAGGAGTAAAAAGGAAAGCAACAGAGTGGTAATATAGATACCTGAGACAAAGGACTTACATCCAGAATATATAAAGAACCCCCAAAAAAATCCATAACAAAAATCATACAACCCAATAGAAAAATGGGCAAAAGATTTGAACAGGTATTTTACAAAAAAGGATATCCAAATGGCCAATAAACATATGAAAGGTGCTCAACTTCCCTGGTCATCATAGAAATGCAAATTAAAACCACAGGGTGAGGCCACTACATACCAACCAGAATGGCAAAAATAATAAAAAAAAAAGAAGGCCATGTCAAATACCGGCAAAAATGTGGGAAAACGCCAACTCCCACTCACTGCTGATTGGTTCAATTACTTTGGAAAACTGACCATCTCCTAAAGTGAAACACAGTAGATATTTTTATCCATAATAAGTAAATGTTAATGTGTCATTTAAAAAGTAATTATTGCAAGATTAATCTTTTATTATCCTTCTTAGCTCCAGAGCTATGAAATTTTAAAAATCATGAATTATTTTAAGAGCAGTATAATCCCTTCAGATGTATTGCTGGCCTATAAAAACCAATTTATCACTTTTAATACTTCAGTAAATAACTGAGGCCAAAATATTGAAATGAGTAATACTTTATAAATAATTTTTTTCACAATTACCAACAGACCGTGAACCCTGCAGGGTAAGCTAGAGAAAAGCCTGGCCAAGTGCTGACAGCTTCACCTTTTTGCTGAGATTCATGCTCCCCATCTTAGCCTTCAGTAGCTTCATCTTATTCATAGTTATTGAATTTTCAATTATCTGTTGTCCAGAAGGAGAAGGCTCAATTTCTTCATCCTCATCCGTATATAAATTATACACAGAACCACCACTGCAAAGAAAACAGTAACTACTTGAAATCTGACTACTTGACACTTGGTCAGTAACTAAAAATACTCTATGTGCAACAGCAACCAATAGATGTTGTTAACGATAAAACTGAATCTCTTTCGTCAATGTAAACGCAAGGAAAATGTATTTCAAAAAATGTACTTCTTAGGAGAAAAAAATTAAATGGGAATTAATAGCATGATCTAGTGTTACCAAAAATCTAGTACAGCTGAACTTCTCTGAATTCAGTATATCATAAATGAAGATCTTTTGGCGCCTGCTATAAATTCCCAAAGAGGCAAAATCCATTTCCACAAGAATGTTCTGATTTCCTTTTATCAGCCAATGCTGATGACTGTGTAACCTCAACAACAGGCTGATCAGATTTTCATGAATCAAAATAAAAAAAAATTGGCACAGAAG